TATTCTATTCTATGGATGGATGTTTGTTACTCTTACACGCAATTAAGGGAACGTGTTTTGATAAAATAGAATTGTAATTTGTAAATGGGAAAAAAGAAGTCGTAAATAAACTGCACCAGTTTGATACACTGCTTTGTTATTGGAGTTTAGAGGGATTATTGATCGGTCTAAGTTGGGAATGAACTATTCTTAATCGCTATTGACTGACTTACCATCAGGAGACAATAGAGTTATTGTATTCAACTTGTGTAAGAAAGAATAATCATGAGTAAGAAAATATCAAGGCATAAACATTTCGACTTAAAATCTAGACCAAGTCCAAAAGTTTGATGGCTTCGGTGGTCTAAAGGTTTAGCACTTTACTTCTGATGGGCGCGAGTTCGATTCCTCGCACGGTATTAATCATTTGTATGTATGAATTTGATTGTTTGTATCGGTCTGGGTGTTTTCTATGTATATAATACTATATATGTAATTTAACTTGCTCAGAAATTTATACTATATGTAGTTTTGATGGTAGAGAGCAAGACAAATGTCTTTCCATCGTGACTTGAAATTTCCAGAAATTTGCCCACAGAAATACCATCGGTGGTCCAGAAATTTAGCCCTCAACTTGACTTCCAATGGTCGCGGGTTCGATTCTTGACACGGTATTAACATTTGTTTGATTGTTTGTAGCAGTCTTTGTGTTTTCTATGTATATTATGTATATATTTATATAAAAAAAAATTCTGAGTAATTATATCAGTCGTCTAGTCCCATAACAAGCTTTGCTTAGCTTGAGATTAGATGGCGCTGTATGAATTGTCGTTATTATTAAAGAAAGAGTCGTGAATTTTGCAAACCATAATGATTCACATAATGAGTTTCACGACTTCACGTTGTATCATGATCTGTGGGAGCCATTATACGAAATTCAGCCAAGGACTTTGTCATTTATACTGATTAACGAAATTGCTGTATTCATGACATGGGAATTGAGATATTATGTTATCTGCGAGTCTGTATCCAATTAATAATTCTATGTTTATCAGATAGATACGAGATAGAAAGTAAAGATACAAAATTGCTCTTATAATTTATATGATTTTGGTTAGTTAATATTATAGAATAGAAAATAATTTATTTATTTATTCAAATAAACTTACACTACATTTTTTAAATAGTAATCAAATTTTTTTTCAATCTACCGTCCATTCGGAAAGCTGTTTCATCACAAGAAGGAAGAGCAAGAAACTTGCGTGTTGTTTTTTTCTTGCACTAATTCAATTAAATATTAAATATACAACCAACTGGTTGAGAAAATAAATAATATTAATAAATCATTTCCAACATCTAAGTCACATTTTATCATGATGTGTGAATATTATACGAAAGTGAAAATATGACTTTGTCATTATAATAATAATCTCAGATTAACGAAATTGCGTATTCATGACATGGGAATAGCTGAGATATTATGTTATCTAGATAACTGTATCCAATTAATAATTTTTGTTTATCAGATATATACATATTATACATAGAAAACACCCAGAACGATACAAACAATCATACTCATGAATATAAATAACCATGTCTATTTTTGAGTACAAGATATAAGTTCTGATTTGACCATAAAAATAATTTATTCAAAAAATAAATTATATTACATTGTTTAAATAGTCATCAATTTTTTTTAAATCTACCGTCCATTAGGATGCTGTTTCATATATATAAAGAAGAGCAAGAAATCTCTCGTGTTTTTTTTGCAGATTCTTGCACTAATTCAATTAAATATTAAATATACAACCAACTCATGCATAAACGAAATATCTCCTTTGAAGGATATTCTTAGGAGCGATGGTTTTTATCTCCTCGGGTTTACCCTCTTTCTCGAGGAGATAAAAACCATCGCTCCTAAGAATATCCTTCAATTCTTGTCAATGACGGGTCTAGGTAGCGAACTCTGAAAAAGGGCGTGCACTAGATATATATATATATATATATATATATAGATCTATATAGATTGTAGTGCTACAGGTGCTACAGGCACCTGAAAATAGCCCAAACAACCAAATAAAAAAAATAGCCTTCGTTGCTGCTGCCTCCCCGTAATACTCGTCTGTGTTTTTTTTATATACCACGATATGGCAATCAAGTATACGACTGGTAAATGGTTACCATAGCGTCCATTTGGTCTTTGCTCTTTGGGTTTCTAGAAATTATTATTCTCACAATTTTTACAAGTATAATTATGATAGTCCTCTCATAAATACAAGACGAAGATTTGGAGAATGCACAGAAATATTTACATATAATCTGTATACCAATTAATATGTAAATAAAATTATAAGTTATGTACATATAACAATTTGCATAACGTTAGCTGTGAACTCTTTATATGATCCACCATATGTATGATGCGATGACTGCGAACAGGGACGAATGGAAGAGTAAAACTTATTACGCCGACCCCAAATAAATGGGATAAGGAAGAAGCAGATGATGACAAAATTGAGCCTTAAAACTTCTGGAATAGTATCTAATCAGTATACATTAGTCACGTTTGCTAAACGAGGCAGAGGTACGAAACCTTACATGTAATACTATTACCTCCTTCATTACTCATGCAAGCCGTACGTTCATTGTTTGTTCGTTAACCAAATGTTGTTAACGTCTGTATATAACACGAAACACTGTTGGTTAACTAGGCAGTGGATTTGATGACTAGAGGTTAATAATTAGATTTTAACTAACATCTACATAAATCGATTAACTGACCAGTAACTATAACTAGCATGAATCGAGGTTACATTGAAAATATATCTTATTTTTTATGTTATTTATTCTTTTAGTGCTACGCAGTGAAATGCGTCGCGTAGCAAAAATTACTACGCAGTGCTTTTGCGTCGCGTAGCATAATTTGCTACGCGACGCAAATGCTAATATTGATATTTAAATATGATTTCTACTACTTACTAGATGGCGTTATAGAAAATACATACATCATTGAAAAATTGTTTTGCACTAAAACAATTACTAACAGTATTTTCTTGACTTTCTTTAGCTTATATGTATGTTTTACTTTGTAAAATGTTGTCAACCTTAGTTTCCCCTAATTTAGCTTCTAAGCAGCCTGCTTTGTAAGATGCTTTTCGGTTGAAAAGTAAAAAGACAGTGAAAATGCAGAATAAGAGGCATGACATAGTAGTTATTGTAATGTCCATGCTGTTCAACCTCACAAATATCCAGCAAACAAAGATGATAACTATGTATAATTAAGCCATCAGATCTCACCATAACAAGGATGTCCAGGAAGGCCAGTTCTGTCTGTCTCCAATTCCATTGTAAATTTGATTTTTGCTTGTATGGACTTTAAGTATTCGTCTGCTTGCTGTTGTGTACCATTAAACATGCAGAAAACATCATCTACATATCTTTTCCATAGGCTAATTTCTAAGATTAAAAGTGTTCCATCCAAATATTATCTACTAATGGTGCCACTGGGCTCCCCATTGCAACACCAACTATTCGAAGGTTGTATTCACCTTAGTAAAGAAAATAGTCTGTAGACTATTATCTTATTCTATTGCATCTAAGCAATGTCTCAGAAGTACGCTATACTGTGATGGTAGTTTATTCTCCAATATCTCCTGACTACCTGCAAGCACTTGTTCACTGGAACGTTACTGAATAATGATTCAAAGATAAAACTCACTATTATTTCTGTAGAAAAAAATATAACTTAAAAATGTTATAGTGTAGTAAAATTTCGTTTATCTGTGTATGTTTATCTGTTACTCGTTACAGTCGTTAGTATAGTGTTACTGAGAGATCGATCTCAGCTAAAAGAGAACACAACCTGCATTTCCGATGTGTTGTTAGAATTTCCGCTGTATAGAATTTCACGTAAAAGCCTAAGATATGACGCTTCTATTCCAATATATTTTTACACTGATACGGGAAGCAAGTTGGCGTACATTTTTATTGAATGTAGGAAGCTTAGTTATGTAGTACAGTCGTAAGTAATTTTACTTTACAATTTAAAGAAATCAAAATATCTTTATTTATGTAGGTCTATTACAGGCTCTTATTATTTGTCAAAATCTATCGTCAGTTCGAAGAGCATTCAAGCTAAGAACTAACAAAAAACTCTGCTCTTATTCTCCAAATGAGTTTGCACATGATTACAAAAATACAGATTCATTTTTAAATTCAAATTACGGAGAATAAAGTGACCACCAGTATATGCTATTGTAATTCTGTCAAAAGGAAATAGTAATCAACAATTTTACGTAAACAATATTCTAAATATATATTCTAAGTAAATAGCTGTAAACAAATAGAGCGAGTACTTTAAGTATATATATATAAAATTACGTGTCACGTTGTTTGTCCGTGATGGACTCTTAAACTACTGAACTGATTGCAAATTTGATTTGAACATTGTGTGCAATTTGATCCAACTTGAAAGTAGGATAGCTTAAATCTCAATTTATAGTCGCAATATTATTTTATTCAAGAACCTTAGCCACAGGAAGGCCGGGTTTACTAGTAAAGCAAAGCATTTCACATTTTGTAAAGTTGGAACAAAAATATAAATTATTTAATATATTACAAAAACGTAGGGTTGCGGGTAAAAAATGGAAGAGAAGGGCTGAAGATCGTGCCCAGTGGCGTGCCTTGGGAGAGGCCTATGTCCAGCAGTGGACTGCAATGGGCTGATTACAAAAATTAAAAAATAGGTATACCGATATATAGGTAATAGGTCACCTCTTTATTCTTTTCGCATATCTTCACCTTGTACCTAAAGTTTGTCTGTAAAAGATTGCTTAGCGATAAGACCGCCTTTGGTACTAGTTATTCCTTTTTTTTTCTATAACTATTGCAATAAAGTATAAAATATAATAAAAACTGTTGTTTGTTTGTTGCAGGCGGACACGTGATCGGTCGGAGCTCGAGCCGGGGCGGTGCGGGCGGTGCGGGCGGCGCGGGCGGCTGCTCGCCGAGTTGACAGCATGCTCAACGTGTCCTCCTCAGCCAACCTCACCGACCTGGCGCTCGGCCCCGACCTCCCCACCAGCCCTTACAGTCTCGCGCAGAAGATCGTCATCGCCATCGTCGCCAGCGTCCTCGCCGTCCTCACCGTCGTCGGCAACTCCATGGTCATGATCAGCTTCAAGATCGACAAGCAGCTGCAGACGATTAGCAACTACTTCTTGTTCTCGCTGGCCGTCGCCGACTTCGCCGTTGGCCTCATATCCATGCCTCTGTACACGATGTTCACGATATATGGATACTGGCCGTTGGGCCCACACGTTTGTGATACATGGTTGGCGCTGGACTATTTAGCGTCCAACGCGTCTGTACTGAACCTTCTCATTATAAGTTTTGATAGGTATTTTAGTGTGACGAGACCCTTGACGTATAGGGCTAAGAGGACTACACGCCGTGCGACTGTTATGATTGGGGGTGCGTGGGGGTTTAGTTTGTTGCTATGGCCCCCGTGGATTTACGCTTGGCCGTATATAGACGGTGAGAGGAAGGTGCCTCCGCACGAGTGCTACATACAGTTCATAGAGACGAACCAGTTTATTACGTTCGGGACAGCGATTGCCGCATTCTATGTGCCAGTGACTGTTATGTGTATACTATACTACAGAATATGGAGGGAGACGAAGAAACGGCAGAAGGATCTGCCTAATCTTCAGGGTGGGAAGAAGCATGACTCTTCAAAGAGATCTAATTCAAGGTGAGTGCTAGTATTGTACTTGTGTATTTGCAATTTCATCGACGTGGACTTTGATGGATAAGTTTATTTAACTTATTTCTATGTACAGTATTCTTTTAATTTACTTTAGGTACGGAAGCATGAAATCTAGGCTCACAGGAACAACAATTAGGTAGACTTTGTAAAAAGTTGTCTGCGTGCTACCTCAGTCTCACCTATTTTAGCCTCTAAGCAAATTATGTAAGATGTGTTTCAATTTAAAGGAGATAAGGTAGCGAAATTACAGGACGTTACAATTACAAGTTATAGTATAGTTGAATTACAGGAGTGAATTACCTCTTGTATGATATCTTAGTCATCCAGAATAGCAACGTATGAGCTGTATAGAGGACGTCATACGAGACCGTGGTGTTAGTAGTTCTATTCAAATCAAATCAAAATATCTTTATTCATGTAGGTCTATTACAGACTCTTATGATATGTCAAATCTACCGTCAGTTCGAAATGCTTGCGAGATGAGAAGAACTGACAAGAAATTCAGCTTTTCAGGTATTCTTTTCAAATATGGTTGTATTATATACAGGTTTATTCATCTATATAGACGACTTACGATTTCAGACCATCAGATGGGTAGGGTTGTTTTTCCAGTATTATAAAGGATGTGACCACGCATGTGAAGCACATATATACAGGATGATATTTTACACTTATTTATTAAGTAGGTCTTTAGATTATTTCTCATTTTGGTTACATAAAAAATTGTAATTGTTAGTCGGATGAAAAATAAAAAAAAATAAAAACTAGTTGCTTAATACGTTTATAATGGATCAAATTCTAGTTTTAAAACAAGCTAACAATTAAAGAAAGAACGATATCATGATATAACGATATAAAAATAATAAATTTCTATAATTTGCTTTTGGAATATTTATCACCAAACATTATCGGATTCATTAATTCTAAGTTCCGTTTAATAGCAAACGCCGTTCCAGGATTAATACCATTTACCATTTATCTCAATACCGGTATAAAACTTTACCGATAAATTACCGTTGAGCCATTACACCGCCATCTGCATAGAGGTGGAAGCTTATTCAGCCCTTGCCTGTCATTGTAACCAAGATTAACTATGTACTGTTTAAAAGCTTTCACTTCTGCCTCAGTACCTTATATATTTATGTATTTATTACGGTTTACTTAAATATTTGCGGCAATATCAGGTATTATATAGAAACTTACAAGAATTATTTAAAAAGATAATTCTTGTAAGTTTCTATTTAATACCTGATAGCGTTCCGAATAAATGGTAGATTAAAAAAATAAGTATGTCTATTAAAAGTGCTTAAATTTAAGTTTATTTAAAAAAGAATTTTTCTATTCTATTCTAAGGTTTATTAAAATTAAGGTATTAAATGTAAACTTACAAGAATCATTTAAAAAGAGCAAGACACTAGTTTCTTGCTCGCTCTTGGTTATTATAGCGTTTTGAATAAACGGTAGATTAAAAAAATAAGTATGTCATTTAAAATTAAATTTAAGTATATTTAAAATAGAATTTCCTATTCTGTACTATTATAAGATTGATTAAAAGGTGATAAAAGTTTTGAAGTAACTGATGCGAAGATGGAAATTTTAGGTTAATAGTCAGCTCCGAATATTTTTTTATTTAAGTCACGGACTAGTTACTAAATATATTGCAAGACATACTGCACGGTACACCTTTGAAACAATGCAATGAGTTTTGGACGGCGCGTCTCTGAAAACGTCATTAGTCTGGTGTCTTTGTGTTCCGTAGTTTTGCATATTCATTTCCTAATGAATCACCGCCATTGTCATTCTGAAACTTAATAGGTGCCAGAGAAGGCTCCTCTAATTAATCCGCATAAGATGTCAGGCATAATGAATCTTACCCTCATAATTAGAAGGGTACATTTTGTTCATGACTAGTTGGGACACGCGTCTGCATTCATTTGTTTTGTAAACCAAATGACCATTCCATGTCAACCTAAGTTATGTCATACCTGTTTTTTTCGGACTACTCTAATGCTGGACCTTTACAGCTTCACCTGACGATAGGGGGCGTGTGCAAATGGCACTACAAATCCGCAGAAAGACTCATGGAGCGGCTTAAGGCCAACTCCTGCCTGACGGATACGACTTTAGTCTGAGGGCATCGCTAGGGGTTCGAACCTCTCAGGCCGTCGTAATTTCGATCCCCGTTTGACTTGGAAGGGGGCTGATCAGAGGGGGTATGATGGAGAATACTACACAAGGAAGTGCGTCAATTCTTTGATAACTTCTTGATGATCGTGGTCATTATATAGTATGATAAGAGGCTAGTGTCATTTGCCGTATGATAGCTTGCCATTTGTATGGCGGCCATTCTGGTACACTCATGAAGTGGACCGCCTGCTTTGACTTGGTCGGTCCATTGCATCACCACATTTTTGCATATTATACAATAAAGTCACTTCCGCTATCTGTTCGTTTAGATCTTTTAAACTGCTCAAGAGATTTTAATGCTGTTTCTACCAATAGAACCCAGATGGGCCGTTGCAGGTACAACTTGGTAAAATGGGGTGTCGCCAAGGGAGACTTGCTACTGCGGAGTGCCATCCCAGACAATGGTTTACCTAATGTCCTGTCCTTTGTGTCCATCATCCTGCACAAAGGAAGATTTTAAAAATGCGACAGAATGCGCATAAGTCGTCGCAACATTTGTACATCGTCCAGAGGGAAAGTACATTTAGTTGCCATTGAAACGAAAGAAGAAGACTAATGGATAGAGTGATTTAAAATGAAGGTTTATATGTACAATATATGTATATTCTTGCGAAGCCGAGGCGGGTAGTTAGTACATATATATTCTGCATTATACTTACCTATTATTTTTATTATTGTAGCCTGCTACACGCTTCGGATTAAGAGCTCTCCTTAATAGGAGATTTCATCTCCCATGTGAAGTGAGGCTTCAGGATTACGACGTGTTGTTGATTATTCTTTCATAATTATACCTCTTAAGTTCTCCTACCTTCGTTAATTTTAACTACAGCGGAAATTTCGGAACCTGATATGTTATTAGCTAGATTGAGCATAATAGACAACGTAATATAAAATTATCTTAGAATTTTTATCTTATCATTACATAGTATAAAACAAAGTCGCTGTCGCTGTCTGTCCGTCTCTATGTATGCTTAAATCTTTAAAACTGCGCAACGGATTTTGAAGCGGTTTCTTTTAATAGAGTGATTCAAGAGGAAGGTGTACATACATATATAATACATTTACACCCGTGCGAATGCGGGGCGAGTAGCTAGTTAATATTATAAATGCGAAAGTTTGCGAGTATAGATGTATAGATGAATGTTTGTTACATTTTCACGCAAAAACTACTGAACGGATTTTTATAAAATTTTACAATAATATAGATTATACATCAGAATAAACTCGGGTTTGGAGTGGCATTGCATTGCACCATATCGTACATTGAATCTGAAAAGGCCAGCTGTGGTCAAATGCATTAGAAAAGTTCGAAAAAAAAACTGTTTTCTATAAAAGTGTCTATTTAGAAGATATTTTCCAATGTAAAACATTTGGATATAATACTTGTACATACATGTTACATAAATCTGAATAATATTGGTTACTAATCTGTTCTGATATCTTTGAATGTTACTCAAGTAACTATTTATTTACTTATGTCTATTTTGCGATTACGTCGTTTGTATTCACATAAAATTCTTAAACTTGTAAATCTAAACAACATTTATTTAAAAGTCTGCGTACCGAATGAGTGGTAGAATAAAAAAAATATGACTAATCTTATACTAATATTATGATTATGACTAATATTACTCTACATACTGTACATCTACTTAAATATTTATGATTAATTTACATACGTATTGCGTATATTAAGATTTCTATTTCTAATACACGTATGTTATTCGTTCTCGCCCAAGCCAATCCATCAACATTCGTTAAATCTTAAACAGCCAGCTATAAACGACAAACTTAACCGTATCAGCCATATATCGGGTTCAGATCTAATAAAAATACCTATCGACTAAGAGCCTTTAAAAATTTCATCGTTCACACACCTCCTGGCTGTCGACCCCCGTCTCACCCCTCACTTTAAGGAGGGGTGGCACCCGAGCCTCGTTACATGGAGAAGCGAAAGACATTACTGGGAGATATGGTTTGGGAAATTTACGTGCCGGCGTTAGCTATTATTATATATACGTAGCTATGACGTACAAATTGTTAGGACAATATTTCATATTGAAGCGTTAATTTTGATTTCTATAACCGATTTCAAAAAAGGAGTTGTGTTCGATAGCTATGTGTTTTATGTATGCACAATAAATCTTCGCTGTGGACCGATTTTCAAAATTTGGTTTTGTTATCCCACACACATTTCATTCTTACTGAAGTCTGCATCACAGTTTCCCAGTTTTTGGAACATTTTTTATTGCTGCTCGGCTTCTAGTTGACGTAGCGTATTAATACATAGCCTATGTATCAATTCTCGATAAAAGTGCTATTTATTTATTTATCCTTTATTGCACTGTTTAAAATAATGTACAATTGACGAGCTTAATGCCATATGGCATTCTCTACCAGCTAACAATTCCACACTACAAAAAAAAAAAAATTAAAATCATTTAAATAGTACCAGAGATTACACCTAATATCCAAACTCATAAATTTTATTTTATTACTTTACTAGCGATCCGTCTCGGCTTCGCACTGGTGGATTACAAATCTTTGAATTTCTCGCCTTGTATTATATGTATGTATTATACATATAAATTTTTCTCTTGAATCACTCTATCTACTGCTGAAACTGTATTAAAATCTGTTGCGTAATTTAAAAGATATAAGCCAACAGACAGCGGCTGCGACTTTGTTTTATACTATTACTAGCTTTTGCCCACGGGTTCGTTCACGTTAATTTATCCCCTTGGAATGGTGGAATTTATCACAATCCTTTCTTAGGGGATGCCTATGTCATAGTAGCT